AAATTGTAAAAATTTATATCACATATTAAAAACATCTTTATATGATAAATAAATTAAACTTAATTTTTATAAGATTTAACATATTTATTTATATGTTTTTATTAGTGTTAAATTACTATTAAGTAGGTTTTTAAGATTGTTATGTAACCAAACATTTTAAAAAATATTTATGACAGATAAATATATAATATTTATAACATGTATTTTTAACAAAAATTAGGTTTAAATCTGTTAAATTATAATATAACATAATCTGAACTAGTTTATTTTCATCCTTAATTATAATTGTAGATATAAAAACTTGTAAAAAATAACTATAATATATATTTATACTTTTAAAAATTATATGTAAAATTTTTAATATTACAAATATATGAATAAGTATTCTCTTCACGATCTAAAATTTCTGGACAAAAGTTTGACATCCACGTGGTATCTACGTAGTTTTCACGTGACATCCACGTAGCATCCACGTGACCAACAGTTAACTTCGTCTAAATAATTTGGATGAAAGTCCGACATTGCAACAATTTAATTTATTAGGGACCAAATTGAGACAAAAAATAAAAGTGAGACTAAATTGAAACAAACAATTATCATAAGGGACCAAATTAGGTTTTTAGCCTAATAAATAATAGTTAAAATGAAAATATATTTCATGCCAAAAATTATTATATATATTACCTTTCTTCTTCAAGCTTCTATCTCTCTTGATCAGTTAGTACCTCACGTTTGTTTAGATCTCTACTCCAGGAATCAAGCTTATGCCTTTCTCTCTCCAATTCACTACTCAATTTTTCTTGTTCATCCAAGATCCTCCCCACCTCATTTCGAGCTCTACGCTGCATATTCCTTGATTCTGACAGAGAAGTGAAACAATTACGAAGTATTATCAACTACAAGGATTTTTGTTTCCTTCTGCATTCATAATTGCCCACGAATGTATCTCACAATAGTGGAACGTATATGGCCACATTTAAAAAATATGGATTATATAAGCAAGAAGGCAAAATCAGATACAACAATTTCATGAGTTAGGTTTGTCACAATACTATTTCTTAGGGGTGAGCAACGGGTGGGTTTGGTTGGGTTCGGGTGAAAAATGTCCAACCCGTTGTAAACCGACTTTGAAAAAATGTGACCCATATCCGACCGACTGAGCTTTCGATTTGAGGCGGTTCGGGTTGAAACGGATTCGGATTTAAGCGGGTGGGTATAATCGGGTTTGAATTTTTTTGTAGACCAATTTATCTTAACGAAGATGAAGCTTAAAACGATAAAAAATATTTTTAAAATAGTGTATAAAAATAGAATGAAGGTGACAATAGATGGTGTAAATAGATTCGTAGTTGAAACATTTACAAACTAAAGAAGCAAAAATAAAAGATAACAAAATTCATAGTTGTTACATGGAAAAGAAATATAAAGTTAGATTACAAAACCATAAGAAATCACAGTCACACAAAATGTACTCAAAATGGAGATAAGAAGATGGAAAAGAAAGACAAAGAAAGAAGCAAAAAGATAACTCTAAAAATGGACTAGTGTGTTGAGAAGTTGAATGAGGAAGGAGAAGACAAAATAAATATCTAAGTTATGAGAAAAAGGAAAAAAATAAGTTACAAATTGATGGCTATATTATACTTAAAATAAAGACTTTTAAATTTGGACCATTGTTGTTTAGTTATACAAAAATAATAAAAATTTAAACTTATCTCATTTTCGGTTGGGTTCGGTTTTTAGCGGGTTTAAAAATTCAAAACCGAACCCGCCCAATATAACCCGTATAAAATCAAAATTTTAACCCGATTTACCCATAAGACCCGCCCGAACCCACCCAAAAACAATATTTTTTTTCGGGTTTTTCGGGTTCGGTTCGGGTGTCGGTTTAATGCTCACCCCTACTATTTCTGCTTCGAGATTCTTCTTCAACAATATCTGAAACTGTTCTCAACCTTCCGTTGTTGGGGAGGTATTTCCCTATTGGTCCTCCACAATTATAATCTTCTTCCCGCGCTATCCATCCATAAATGTTTGAGCCAACCTCCCTTGAATTCCAATCCTTTTTATCATGACATGCATTTTCAAATGACTTCTCAAATTCACTTACATTCAGAGAAGATAACTATTGTAACATTTTGAGTTTAACTCACAAGTTTTTTTCTATTTTCATTATTTGTCCTTATGATAACAGATAACTATTTGACTTATTTAATACAAGCATTAAATGTGTTTCACCAAATGATATATCTTATCTGATCAAGAATTCTACTAATCAACTTTCCATGTCAAATAGAGTTTGTAGAAACAATGTCAATATAGTGTAGTTGTAGTAGTGACTTTATCTACTTTTCTCCGTGATTTCAAGGATCTTAGTCTTGGCGCCAAATCTAATTTTTCTCTTTAATAAATTTGTGAGTTTTGAATATGGCTTTCTAATTTGAGCTGTTAAGGAATAAAACTTTCAAAATAAACTTTGTCATTAGTCTCAATAAATAATAAACATTTAATGTATATGAGACAAACTATATGTTTCATTTGATTTACATTTTCTTACAAACAATCTATGTCTTATACTTTGTTTGATAATCTGTTTTCACAAATATTTTTTCTTGTAAAAATGTTTCATTTGTTAACATTAAAACTTCAAAATTTAAGGAATCCAAGATCTTCTTTTGACATAACATATATTTTAAATAATGATTGACATATAGTAATGCATCATTGTTACCCAAACAATGAAATAATCATTGATTCAATTTTAACCTTCTACAACCAAATTTGCCATAAAATAAGTTGTTCATTCAACCATATGCTTTGACCAAATACGAGACATAATGTTGTCATGCATCCTTGTTTGATTTGATCATTTATTTCACAATACCTAAGTAGATGTTCAATCACAAATAGACGCAATATCTCATATTAGTTCATTCCATAGAATGACTTTCAAGAATACATAATTACATAGCTTCATAAAACTCTAGGTCCTTTCTTCTCTTATATATCTTGGTAACTTTTCTACTTACTTTAGGTTGCTCTCACCCTTTCTTGGATCAAGTTAACTTTTACAATGATATGGTGCAACACTTGAAATCTTAACACAAGATTCTTATCAGGCTCTAATCAACATAAGGGTATCCTATGTAATAAGAGAGGAGATTGATTATAAACTATCATTGACATAAACTTCTAAGTGATAGAGACATTTTGACATATCGGGACATATTAGAAAAACTTGAGCAATGCCATGAAATGTGTATATATTCTTATAAAATAACTAGGCTATAATCTAAAAAAATAAATAAAAATTCTTGTTACATCCTCACAATTAATCATTGTTTTAAAATTGAATCGATCATTGAACCGACCTAGACACTGTTTTAAGGTTCAATGGTTCAATCATGATCAAATCAATATTAATAATTTAATAGTTATTATTATTATTATTATTATTATTATTATTATTATTATCATCAATATAAAATTAATATTAAATAAATATAATATTATAATTTTATAATACTAAAAATTAAAATAAAATATTTATAGGTCCTTAAATTTTGGTGTATATGTAAATTTCTAAACTATATAATATAATATTTCAATTTAATTTTTAATAAATATAACAATATCAATTAATAATAAGTTTAAGTATCAAATTAATATAATATAAACTATAAAAAAATAAAGATGTTAAAAATTACAAATTAACATAAATTATTAAATC